GTAGGAGATTTTCCTGGAAGCTGACAGCCACGTGGACAAGGAAAATAGCAGGGATCAGTCAACACTCACCAGAACAAACTAAATCACTTCCAGAGTTTGTTTTAATGTGCAAACTCATTTTTGAAGAGAACTTAATTCCTGTCAAAAGGGAAAACAGCCCTGTAGCTGAGGATACAGCAGTACTCATGGAACAAGCAGATCATGGACAACAGTAGTAGAAGGCTTCCCCAGCTATGTGCAGTAAGGTAACATGAAAGCATGCTTCCCAGGAAGTAGAGGTGGTTGGAATGTACTATTCCCAATACGCTATTGTGGGTATATATCACCAATATACTACAACTGTGTGGGTACAGTGATCTGCCTCAGCTAATTAACCCTTCCATGAACGAATTACTGGTTTGAATTGGCAACATAGCATTTTTCATGACTATTTGAAGCATGACTCAAGTGCCTTGTAACACACTGGTGCTTCTGTTTAAATCTTCCCATTTAGCATTGTCCTGGTTCACATCAGAACACAGCTCTGACTATTCACTGTATTTGCTACAGATGTCCTGCCACCCAGAGCTGAATCAGTACATCCAGGACACACTGCACTGTGTAAAGCCACTGCTTGAGAAGGTAAGATCATATCAGAGACCTGGGCGAAAGTACTGCAAGTGGTTTTGATAGAAAGTAAGAGAACATAAATTTTGCAATTGAGACAGTATTTATTTACGAATTTACCATATACAGTATACTAGCTGATAAAGTTACTAAGAAAAATAAAACTAATATCCATAACCTTTCCTTGCAGTTAAGGTCCTGCCTTGCCACTGATCATTGGCATTTAGCTGCATCTAATACATGCACACGAGGATATACATCTATATATTTTCAGTTACATCATCCTATATGTTAATGTTCTGCTTTTGAGTACATTTACATTTAAGCACCTATCTGGCCAGAATAGTTTGAACGCTTTGCTGTAAGCCAGCAAAGGAAAGGTAGGTTTGAACGCTTTGCTGTAAGCCAGCAAAGGAAAGGTGTGGCCATACGAAAGATTTCAGGATGTAGGATGGTGGCAGTTTTTGCATTCTCTGCTCTTTATAATCTTAATGAGCATTTAGAGAATGGAAATAGGTCCATTTTACACTGAGGTAGTAAAAAGCTGCTATATTTGGCCAACGGTCTAAGCATATCTTAACTTCCTCATCGTTGTCCATTCCCGAGTGATGCAATGAGATGGCTGTACGTTTCCTCCTTTGTTCCAAAACAGTATCTAAAGAAACATATTATTTAGTGCACTTCATCTCCCTAGGCCTTCATACTAAGCTATTAGCTTAGCATCTAGCAAGAAATGGCTTTGCAAAAGCATTTTTTCTGATCGGTAAGAATACTCTGACAGTGCTCAAGCTTTGGCTAACTGCTAAACTGCTAGCACTGTGAACCACAACAAATAAGCATACTCCCACTTCATCAGAAGTATGTGAAACACACTGGGGGCAGAAGACAGCTTTTTTTAAGGAAGGGATTTTTCTATCTTTGTTCTTGCAGAATGATGTGGAGAAAGTTGTAGTTGTAATCCTGGATAAAGAGCACCACCCTGTGGAGAGATTTGTCTTTGAGATCACCCAGCCACCTCTTCTTTCCATTAGGTAAAGTTTCCATTACTGCTCGCCCATGGCATCCACCACCTGCCTCCACAGAGGTGTTCTGGAAGCAGCTCCAGGCCCCAGTACTTTGCTGCATGCCAGTAACAACTGCTATCTCCTCAACAGTTCAGAGTCCCTGCTGTCCCACGTGGAACAGTTACTGCGTGCCTTCATCCTGAAGATTAGCGTGTGCGATGCTGTGCTTGACAACAATCCCCCAGGTAAACACATCCATATAGCCTAATAGCATGGCATTACTTGACTTGAGACACACTTGAGGTAGTGTCCCATCCTCTGTTAGTTGTCCCCTGATCTGGAGCTTACCAATTCTCTTGCAGGATGCACCTTCACTGTTCTGGTTCACACGCGGGAGGCTGCCACACGGAACATGGAAAAGATCCAGGTGATAAAGGTGAGTGGTGTCTTTGGCTACATGATCGCATGCGAGCGAGCTGCAGAGCAAAGACTGGAAATTACAGAGTTTTGGCATCTCTAAGGTTAAGGCTGCTAGGTATTTTGAACACGTAGGTTAGCTTCACATGATGCACTTCACAACTTTGCTTTGAGTGCAATAAAATGGTTTACACTGGTGAGGTGACTGAGCACATTCACCAGCCACAATCGCAGACAATAGCTGCATCAATGCCTGAATTAGATTGTAACAATATGTACTGCGTAATGCCTGACATATAGAATAGGTACTTGAATTTAATCAACAGCAGCAAAAAAAAGCCAGCCCCCCACATCCAGTCTGTGTGGATGGATGAATAGCAAGGAAGACCAAGATTCAAGTAACTGGTGGCTTTCAGGTGAACAAATACCTTTTATCTGGCAAGAAAAGTATGTGCAGATCACTTTTTAAAGCGAGACTTTAACAATCTTTGCATAGGTACAGGGAAACTTTTTTCCCCTCAAGCAAAGTTATTTTGGGTGTCCTAAGGCACAATAAATAAAGCTAGTGAAGTATATAAAATGGTTTCAAAATGGAAGTCTGCTCTATACTGCTGAGTAACAGAAAGTGGTAGTATAGTAGGCCAACCTTTAAACTTGCAAGGCAGGACAGAAATCTATGCCCTGGCCATTTTGGAGTTGCAGTGAAATGCTGGTGTAATGAATAGACCATGCTAGCTCAGGACAGCTAGGAGTGTATCTTTTAAAGTGAGATGTCACCTTTGGAATAGGTAAAGTGGGTTAACATAGTTCGATGCTGTAACTGAAGATAATTATGCTATATCTCAGGGCCAAGTGTGCAAGTGTTAAGTTTTGCTGTTATTAAAGGTTTGAGTTACCAGTTTCTTCCTTCAGCCACTAGATCTCTTATTTGCTTAATGCTGACCTAGTGCTGAGAGCTCACCTTACAGAGTCTGACAGCCTCTCTGCAAATAAAGCACCCTGTGTTCTTGCCCCTAGGATTTCCCGTGGATCCTTGCTGATGAACAAGACGTGCATATGCACGACCCCCGGCTTATTCCCCTGAAAACGATGACATCTGACATCTTAAAGGTAAGCAGAGCATTCTGGCCCAAGAGCTGGCTGGAAATGCATGTAGTTCTAAGCTTTGGCTACTCTGATGCCAGCTCTGCGGTTTTCTGTAGGGTGACAATTTTAATACTGCTGAGCAGTAGCTTAGGCTTGCAGATGCCTGTGCCAGTAATCAAAACAGGGCAAGACTCCTCCTCATAAAATAGGAAACCCCGTTATGGGGCAGTCTGTTTAGCCTGTTGCAGACTTTTTTCCCTCTCCATTCACCTACCTGCATATCAAATGGAACTGATGCATGTTTCTGTCCTCCAGATGCAGCTATATGTAGAAGAGCGAGCCCACAAAGGCACCTGATATCGTCTTCCTTACCTTCAAGCCTCATCTGATCTTCCAGTGGAATAAGATATCTCACAAACCATACCTTGATAACCGTCTCTTCGGCTGGCCTTCTGGGTGAATGTAGAGCAGCTGCTGCCTCTTTATTTCAAGTGCTCTTACCACTGTATATAGAACTGACTTGGAATGTGGAGCCAGAGCCTGTTGCCCTGTACGCTCATGTGTGAGTGAGTACAGGTTTTGTTCCAGTGAATCCCTGGGGGCAGGATATAGGCAACTGCAGTACGGGGTTCAGTGCTTTGTACAAATCCAGTTCTCACCTTAATAGGGCATCTCCGCTGCACACCAGTAGTGATACACAGCCATCTGTTACATGCTCCACTAGAGCAATGGACTCATACTAAGGGTGAGTGAGGCCTTATGTAGTGTCTGTCCACTGTGACTGTCCCCAGTAGTCTTCAATAAATATTTTTACCCCGGTTGAACTAGGCTAAGTTCTGTCCAAACCAGCCTTCTTGCTTAAGTGAGGAAGTAGTTTTATTTTGTATGGAGCTTGTACTTTATGTGGAGCTTCTACCACTTTTCTGTACCTTTTCTGGAACATATGTGGAATCTGTCAGTTCCTCCAAGACACTACACAACCCTGGTCTCTCCCCTTTCCATGGGAGAGCATTCACTCACAAATGGCATTAGCAAGGTAGAATTTGCCTGTCCAGCAAGGACACTTGCCAAATGTCCTACTCCCAACAGAGAACAGACAAGGGAAACACTGTTAATCCCACACCTGTCAAAGGCGACTGAAGGAGGCCTTAGTACTGACTGTGCATACAGGGGTAGACGACATGGTTCATAGTACTTGAGCGGAACTTGTTGGTCAGACAATTTGAGAAGACAGCCAGGATAGTACCTCCCTGCTTCCTCCAAGTAGAATTGCAAGAGTACTACAGATCGAGGTTGTGCACTGCTTTAACATTTTATATAGGATTAGACTGTTCAGTACAAACCAAGTACTTTGGTAATACAAAGGTAGTATGGAAAAAGCCCAGCACAATCAAAAGGTACTTATGTTGTAAGGTAGCCACCTTAAGGGATTTCTTACCTCCTCTTTCTCTAGCTGTTCATTCAAACAGCAAGCTGTCTTCAGAGAGGGAAGGCATGTGCCATTTTGATCATATACACTTACAGAAAGGGTAAGGAATTAAGTGCCAGCGACACAGCATTTATGAAAAAGGGTTGATGGTCTCCTTATGCTATGAAAGGTCTGATGTGAAAGATGCATGTTTTTATACATAATTAAACTGAAACAGGAAAATACTATACAAAATAAGTCTCTATGTAGCAGAGCCCTTGAGGACCGCATTGATAATCTGAAATGAAACATTTTAGCCTTATCTTTCATAAGCTCCATAAACAAACAAGAAAGGGTTTCTATTTAAGACTTAGATGTTTGGCTGTAGCACAAGGACACATTAACTAGAAAAGACAGATAGCACATTTAATTGTTCTAGTGTTCCTCCTGTGGAAGGGCAGTGGTAATTGCAGTAGCATCCATGGTACAGGAGGAAGAAAGATGAAGACAGAGGTCCTTCCAAAGGGCTGGGCCTGCAGAAGTTCTGCTGTGAACAAGAACTAGCTGCTTGTATTTGGGAGCAGCTGTGCCAGACAAAGTCGGGACACTCACACAGAGAGTACAGACAGATAAATGCACCTGAGACCACCTGGTTACAGTCCTGAGGTAAAAGCAAACACTTATATTGTGCCTTCATAACAATGTTGGGGCCCGATGGTGATGCTGCTGTTTGTCACTCGGATCCCATACCATCCTGCCCAAAACTGGGTGTCTTGGCCTCCATGCTGAAACCAGATGTAACGAACTCCAGCTGGGTAATTCTGGAAGGTGTGAGAAATCTAGGGAGAAAGAAGAAAATTCCTCTTAATTTGCCTAAATATACCAGCACTGACCTAGAAGCTCAGACAGTGACAACTAAGTCCTTGGTCTCAGGAAAAGTTCATTTTAAGATACCTGTAATTGAAAGTGCATCATACCCCTTTTTGAGGGACAGGAAAAAAGCCTCTCTCACTCAGCCTTCTGCCTTGAAATCCTCTCCCAAGTCAAACATAACATTAAGCTTGATTCATAGGTACGTTTGTCACATAAGCAACAACGTAATAGGGAATCTACAGCCAATCAAACCAGTTAAACACGTTCAGCAGTTTTAAGAAATGTCTGCAATACTTTAAATGACATCCATGCAGTAGTTTTAAAACAAAGCTTTTTGATTCAATAAAAACAAGAACCATGCTCTTGTAACTTGGTTATTTAGACAAAAACTTGAGTGAAAAACATAAACAACTAAAGAGACTGAGCTAAAATAACACAGATGCCCAGGGGATACTCTTTACAAAACCCTGGGCACCTACAAACCAAACCTAGCTCTTTCAGGGCACTACTGCTTCTACAGCATTGTCACCCTTTTGTATCAAGTAGAGGAGGCTGAAGAGCAGAGAAGGAAGGCCCACTTGGGACTTCTGGCCAAGTAAGACTTGCAAGATTCAAGTGTCACAATACTGATGTAAAGCTATTGCCCACAGGGCGGCCAGTTACCTCTCTCCACACTGCATCGCTCCACTGCTCTATAACCACTGGCTCAGGGTGGAACTCCTCAAGGACAATGTAGTCTTCAGAAAGCAGCCTCACTGTAAGTTCATAGCGACACCCACAGTCAAACCTGGCAGCATACCTAGAGAGGCAGGGAGTAATTGAGCAGGTTTTATAAACAGCGTTCAGTTTTCTTTAGCATTCAGAGTCTCCAAGGGGATCGCTGTCCGCAGAGGAAAAGGAATGTCATCCCCACAGCTATGAAGAAGTTCTAAAACTGCAAGCTATCCTACTCTTCCCAGGATTGCCACCTCTTTACAGACCATTGAATAAAATTAGATTTAGCTTATGCTTTACTGAAGAGCTACAGCTCCCAAAGGATAAAGAACTAATTTTATAGCATGAAAATCTTCAGAGGTCTAGCTTATCTCTAGGCCAATACCAGAAATCCTAGTTTTCAGTGCATGCACTTACCAGTCCTTGACTACAATTTCAGGCCGTTTCTCATCCATCAACTGATTCCAGTATCCTTCTTTCTGCAGGGTAATGAGTTGAGACTTTAAGCATGGCCTGCAACAGAAATACTCACAACTTCACAAAACACTTCTCAATCAGTGTCCACACTTCCTCTAACAGCTTCTCACCAGAAGCCCACTCAGACCTTGAAGGCCCACAAGGCTGACGTGGCTAAGGCATGCCTCTTTCAGTAGCCAGAGCTAGCCAAGTGAACTGGTTAGCTTCACACACAGAAAAGGAATAGTTACCTACAAAGCTGGATTAAGAGGAGGCCCTGCGCTTGTAAAGCATATACTGGTAACAGGAAGCTACTGCTTAATGGATGTAAAAGCAGCTCATCCTCCTCTGTTGACAGCTTTTATGGCAAACTGTTAGCATGACAAACACACCTACCACTCTTAGAGGTTACAGAGCTTTGACCTTGTCAGGTAAGCGCATCTGATTAAGGTTTGGCAAGCTAACCTTTGCCCACTACCTGAAAAGCAGGGATCCCATGTGGATTATCGTGACTATAAAAAAAGTTACAGGAAATTCCTGGTAGGGACAGAGAAATATATCTGAAATAGATCATAGCACATGCTCTGATCAGTTCTCTCAGCAGTAACACCTCTTTTGACTAACTAGTTAAAAAGGTTAATTAAAGGTTAATTAAGCTCCTTCTTTTTCCCACACATGGGCTAAGGTTCAGTGACCTGCCTCAAGCCTCAAGCTCAAGCTAATCAGAGTGCCTTTGCAAGACAGACAGGAGGAGGGTGGTCTCCCAGCTCCAGATCACTGGAATCCTGTTCTTACCCATATGAAGTGACAAAGTATTTGTGTACTTTGGGGTCTGGCATCTCTCTCCCATGAGGTCCAGGGAGATTCTCAATCTTCCATTTATCTCCATCATTATTATCAAGCTTCCAGTGCCGAAAGTTCTCTAAAAACACAATCAAAGATGAGTGTTAGGTCCTCACTTCAGTTTCCAGCAGTATTTCTGCTTTTTGTTAAAGAATCAGCTACAGAAGAATATTAGGAACCTGCTTTGATGAGTTTTCAGATACACTGTATTTTTCCTACAGCTGAAAAGTGACTCCTGCCTTTATGTTGCCATTACTTTTAACGTGGCTGTCAGCACCTAGGACAACAGGTAGCAACTTTCTGACCCCATCAGAAACTCAGAATCAGTAATAAAGTAGAATTACTGTAGTCATATTAGTCAAGTCTTTGCCAACAAAAATTCCCCAGCTTCCTGAATGTTTAATCCCAATACTGGACACTTTTCATTACCATTTGCTGTGCAAATTAACCGTCACTGTCTATAGTGCTGGGGCCTTGGTGACTCCAGGGATTTTTCCAGTCACAACTACAGATACATTATTTACCAAGACGTTATCTATCCACGGTAGTTTTACTGACTATGTTTACTTGTGGATGTGACCCAGCAGAGCTCCGTCAGCAGCTGGACAGTCCCACAACACCCGCAGTACTTGAGTAATGCAGGACACTGACTCATTCTGACTGATAGGAAACTCTTAGCCCTCTACTATAAATAATTTAACAAACCTTCAGCACAGGGGTTTTTGATTAAGTTTCTCTTCAAGTTGCAGAGCATATAGAAGACCTTCCAGTCAGAGACGCTTCTGTCCAAATTCTGCATATAAAACCCCTCGCGCTGGCACTTGCGTTTCCATAGGGTGGCCAGATCCACCACGTACCGCACAGCCCAGCCTGCAGGCGCGGAGCAGATCCCGGGCTGGCAGCAGCGACAGCAGCTCCACCAGGACGTCTTCGGGGAGGTCGCAAATGGTTGTCATCACAGGTTGTCACACAGCTTCAGAGGCGGGGTACGCGACGGGAGGTCCCCGGGCACCGACAGCACAGAACTTCGGGAAATAAGCGAGAGAGTTGGTTTTTTGTACCGGTTACTGACAGCACCACACAACAAACCGCCCGCCCCAGGCTGCCAGGCCACGGCCC